CTTTATTTCAGAAAGCTGTCTTTTAGATTTATTTACTTTTCAAAACTCACTTTTGCCCTTTATTTTGGCCATTTAACTTTTACTGTACAAATGGTACCATTTAATGAACTCTTTCACATTCATGAAAATTGAATCATCTTTTTGAAATAAATTTATATATACTGTTTGATTTTGAATATTTTTATTAGAATATGTGTTTTTGTAAAGTTTTCCTTGGTTTTGCTCTTGAATTTTCCTTGGTAAAGCAGTTATAAACATAAACAATTAATTTTTTTTATCCTTATGAACCTCTTTCAGATTTGCCCCTTTTTCAGGGTTGTCCTTATTTTTTAAAGGGTTCAGCCCTTTTAGTTTTCCTTGGTTTTGCTCTTGAATTTTCCTTGGTAAAGCAGTTATAAACATAAACAATTAATTTTTTTTATCCTTATGAACCTCTTTCAGATTTGCCCCTTTTTCAGGTTTGTCCTTATTTTTTCCAAGAAAATATGGTCACCGTAACTATAAGGGGAATTCCAGAGTGTTTTATGTCTAAACTAGAGATGATGGTGGCAGACTTGTGTGCAGATAGGGCCCTGATGCCAAATCCCTTGAAAGTGCACCATTGGAAGGGTGAAGGGAATTTATAACCTGGAAAAAGGGCTGAACCCTTTGGGGAAAGGCACAACTTGGGAAAGCGGTAAAAACTTTTCCCACATATACTTTGCAATATGTGTGAGAATATGGGAGTCAGCTTTAAAAAGAAATTTCTGAGCTGCAAGAATGCAAGAAGAAGTTCATCTCCCCTTCTACACTTTAAATTGTCTTCCCACTACTACTTCTGCTATCATCATTCATCATCTCTCCTGCTCTATGCAGAAATAATTTTCTGATTGCCAGGTGCACAATGAGGCTCACAGACAATGGGATATAAACCATGTTTAGCTAGGTCACATACTTGCCCTTTGTTTTCTGATTAAAAAAAGTCTCTCCCTATCTTCTAACTTTCATATTGCATACACAGTGCTGCTTTCATTCCCTTTTCTTGGCCTTGAGGAAAAGGAGAAGTGGGAAAGAACACTGCAAACCCCAGAAGGAGAAGGGAGTATGAAGCAGCAACTTCTTGGGGGCTTAACCCAGAGATTGTACCCCACCAACTCCATCTTAGAAGCTAGGGTTCCAGAAGACCCCCAACTACTGAAGACTATGACCAGTGGACTAAGAGAAACCACATTTCCACAGAATTTCCAGTTACCCTTAGATGATCAAACTGATTCAGATTTGGGATTGGTCTCCAATGGCAAGACTACCATATATTGAATCTTTAATCAAAGGATCTTTAATCAAAGGCAGCCTACCTTTAGGGCAAATGTCAGTGCATGGTTTGCATGTCTTAATACCATTTTCCTCTACTTCCATCTTGGGACTTGGACAGGCACGTACACAGGAGCTGATATCAACCACAAAGTTGTCTAAAAAAAGGGGGAGTGGACAATGAAAAGAAATCAGTCTAAAGTTGCAAATAATGAATGCCCCACAACATCCATTTCAAAAGAGACAGGGTGGGCTAAAAGGCAGGACTTACATTTTTGTTAGTATTCGACATGTTCTTTCTTTCCTGTGATGCTCTATTTTATTTTTTTGAAATGTTATGTAAGTTCACATTCTCTTGCATTCCCACTGCTTTATTGCTAATTTAACATTCTTTAAAACTTTCAATTCCCATGACATATTGACATTGTAACTCCATCTAAATGAGATTAATATTTTGTAATATATCTGAAATGTTATATATCCATCAGAAGCTATTAATTGCTACCACCACATAAAATAAAAGCTATAGCAGGATATTCCATAGTGAAGATATTGGCAATCAATTTTAAAATGAAACCATCAAAATAAAATTTATCCAAAGAAACAATTTTATTCAGTTAGTAAGCAAAATGCCCCTATAATATAAACATAAAACTGGCTGTTATACCTGGTCTAATTTTAACAACCATCCAACTGCTTAATTTTCAACTACAGAAGTATAAACTCACACTGCTTCAGAGGTGCGCAATCTTTTGCACCTATGGGTGGTGGTGGTGGTGGTGGTGGTGGTGCTACTACTACTACTACTACTACTAATAATAATAATAATAATAATAATGCTGTAAAGCAACTGGAATACCCAGCAAAGTGAAGGAAATTGTTACTTGAAAATTGAGCAATCATTAAATGCTATTTCTAATCAAACCCTAGAACTAGGGGATTACAAGAGCGGATGTTCAACATTTGGAACCATATCTACCCAAATTAAGAAATCTGTGAACAGCAATTAACAAGATTTATCCTTAGAACAAAAGCTTTTACAGATACTGAACTGCAAAAACTGGAAAAACTATCTGAGAATGCTAATAATTTTGGTAACAACATAGATGAAACTGCAGATCATCAAATGAATCAAATCAAATGCTATCAAATTTTATTAATGTCCAAGACAGATAACAATGCTGATGAATGAAAATATTGAGTAAAAGAATGTTGAACATTAGCTCTCTGAACTGAAAGGAAAAAACATGGACATAATTTTCTATTTTCATGGTGGAAGCTTTTCACTATAGCTTTTCATAACTCGAGCTATAGGAAAAACTTCTACCATTGAAAAAGATGAGTAGAAAAGAATTATCAAAATGCTGAAAGACACAAATTTAGTAGCAGAACATAGTGAAACAAGCACAGTGGCTGAAACTAATTAACGAATTTATAGCACAGCAGCCACAGTGATAACTTCAGAGTTAGGATACAATGCTTTAAAAAACAAACATCAAAATCAATCCCCAAAACCGAAAATTCATTTGGAAAGAAAGTTCAAAAAATTATGAACTGACATCAACAATCTGAAGAATTTGAAGGAAACAATATTGAAATAAGATCAAGAAGCATTTATAGAAAAGATATAATCTTGGCATTAAGATGATTAAAGTTGTCTCAGAAGAATTAAAATGAGTAATAATTATTTCAAAGACAATTGATATGAAGATAGAATAAATCAATTTCAACAAAATCAGCAGCTTCAAACAAACAAGCATTTGTTTTATAAAGCATTACTGGGAAATACTACAGACATAGATGCTTGGCCTGATAAAGATGAAATATTAACATTTTGGAGTGCCATCTAGAATAACCCATAAGATCATAATAAAAATGCAAAATGAATAAAAGAGATTATGAACAATGTTGGCTCAATCAAAATTAATGATATGGCCATCACATCAGAAATGATTAAAAAGCAAGCAAAGAAGGTTAAAAACTGGACTGTATAAGAAAGAAGAAATACGTTGATTTTGGCTGAAGCTTCTGATGACTTTCCATGAAAGACTGACTACTTGATTTAATGAAATATTACAAATTGGAAACACTGAAGAATGGATGACAACTGGTAGAACATTTTATTAATAAAAGACAGAGACAATGGTATAGTTGGAAGCAACCACAAACCAATCACTTGCTTGCCAACAATGTTCAAGCTGCTAATTGGTATATTAGTAACTGCAATTTCAAGTTATATATTTTTGAAAAATCATTGTATCCATCCTGAACAAAGGTAACTGCTAAAATTCACAAGCAACAAAAGATCAATTGCTGCTTGATAAAATGATATTAAAATATTCCAAAAACAAACCAACTTATAAATGGTTTTGATTAATTACAAAAAGCTGTTTGATTCTCTTCCACATGGTTGGATACAGAAAAGTTTGGAAATATTTGGCATTAGATCAAACATCTAGAATATTTGAAACAGTAGAAAACAAGTGATGGTAAATGGTTAATAAACTGCAAATGTAAACATCAGGAAACAAAATTTTCAAGGGGAATTTACTGTCTCCATAGGTTTATACCATTTCAATGACACAACTGACTTATATACTGAATAAAACAAAACTTTGATATGAGCTATCAAAACAAAGTTTAAAAATATCCCACCTGTTATACATGGATAATTTGATACAGAAAATCAAAAACTGAAATTGAACGCTTAGTTAGTACTGTAAGGAACTGCAGTGATGCTATTCAAAATGGAAATTGGATTTGACAAATATGTGACGCTCAGCAAAAACAAAGGAACATTTGGACAAAATGATACAATTTGAAAATGGGAATTTCATGAAATCTTTGTCCATAGAGGAAAGCTACAACTATCTTAGAGTACTTGAATGAGATAACATCTTGCGTGATAAAGTTTAAAAGAAAACTAGTTTAAAGGTATAAAAATTCTAAATTCAAAGTTAAATGGCTGAAACACAATCAAAGCCATAAATACATGGACAGAACCAGTAATCAGATATACTGCTGGTACAGTAAACTGGACACAGCTTGAATTGGACAAATTAGATCAGAAAACCCCAAAACTGATGATAATGGATATGCATTGTATCCATGAAATGATGTTAATCAATTACGCTTAGCATGAATAATTGGAGGCTGTTACAGCAGGTAAAAGAGACAGTTGAACAAAAATGTAGTTTAAATGAATACATCCAAGGCAAACAAAGAGAAAATGCTTATCGCAGTAAGCAAGGAAAGTAGCAGAAGCAAAAAACAATCCCAAAGATTGTGATGGCAACATGGCTATTTAAAGTGTAAAAAGAATTCATTCTGGATCTTCCCCTGGAATAGAAGATCACTATTTGCCCAACAGGAAATTGCATTAGAACAAGCATGAGCAGTAAGTGAAGACTAGCTAATGTTCAAATTTCCCACCCACATTCACAGAAGGCATCCAGGGTATTCTATCTACTTTGCTTTATACTCAGTGTGACTGTATGAAGTAATTTCATCCAATGTCATGAATATTTTTTCTTCTTTAAAGTCATTTTTAAAATGCACTGGACATAACAACTACTCTGGCAAGCAGAATTTCTTAGGATCCACTTGTCCTCAATGGGGAAGCCATATAATGAGTAGGGCTGAAATGTTTGGCCTACTAGAAGGCTTACTGAACTTCTTCAAAAACAGTGAAAAATCAAACTGCTGCAAATTAGCCACAAACGTGAACCAATTATTCCTCCCCACAACTGAATAAAGCATTTATTATTGCGTTATATATTAGGACTATGCAATGTTTTGATGCCCAAAAGATGTTTCAGAATGTGCAGGAGCGCAAACGTAGCAACTGCCTGCCACCCTTAAAGCAGCTGGATCTTTTCCTCAGTTCACATATTGTACAATTCTAGTGACTTCCTACAGTGCAGAACATCTACTTTTTTCCCCCACGTATGTTTTGGTTGGAAAATGTTGAGAAAGGTTGCCCTAAATTTTCATTTTTTTTAGCTTTGAGGCCTGAGCCTAATCAAAGCGTTCAGTTTCACTGACACATTTTATCAAGTCTAGGCTGGCCATTATCACCTGGCTATTCACACTTTGGGAAATTGCCTCAGAGCAGATTAAAAAAAAATACTTAGCTTGTGACAGAAGCAAGTAATAGCTTTTGGCTGAAAGCCAGAGTAAAAACTTCAGTCGTTTAAATGTGTTATGCTTGGTAGCAAAGCCCAGGAATGTGTGCATTTCAGAGATTTGCAAGAAGGAATAGGTTGATCAAGTTGCCCCCTCATTCTGCAGCCCGCACCAATTCTTACTGCCAACTTTCTCTAAGAGAGTAACCAACATCACCTACCCGTCCCTTAAGAAGGCTTTGTTACTGTATCTGCTGCATGACAGACAAGCACTCAACAGACAGACCTTCGTCCTGGGATAATTCTGCACTTCTGGTTAAAGGGGCAGAAAGCTCAGCTTCAAACAGGAAAGCCTCTCTAATTCAATGCCTGATCTCATTTAGTCAGGCTATGCTCCACTTGGCACCCCCCACCCCCAAAACCAGAGCTGAATGGGGTAAATTGGGGTGGCTTTTAATTCCTTTAAGGTAGGATTTAGTCTCTAACTTGAGCTGTCATTCAAAATTATCCACAGAGCTTCACTTACAATACCTATGTAGCTTAGAGGCTTAATGTTCTGGATGGAGATGAAGGCATCACACTTAAAATGGTGAATGATACACACACAAACACCCCTTCCTACATACCTACCTGCCTGCCTATCTACCTTTGGGAACTTGCCAGTTGGCTAACATGCACTGGATGAGAGAGGAGAGTATTAGAGTCAGTGTCTGGCATCAGAGTGGCCCTTGAAGTTAGGCTGCTCTCAGTTGCTCCTCATCTTGGGTGGGCAGTATAGCAGATTTGAAACAGAATACTGGTAGTCCTTGAGTTACGTCCATTCGTTCAGAGACCATTCGAAGTTACAGCAGGGCTGAATAAATGATAGTTACACCCAGTCCCCAAGTTATGGCTGTTGCAACACCCCCATGTGATCAAAATTTGGGTACTTGGTAGCCTGCCTGCACTTACAACTGCAGGGGTGCTTCAATTCCCCCCATCCACTTATCTCCTCCCCCATCTCTGCCCTTTTGGCTGCCCTGTGCTCCACTGGCCCTGCCAGCCTGCCACCCTTACCGGCCTGCCACCACCCCTGCCACTCTGCACTCACTGGCCCTGCCGCCCTGCCACCCCCAGCTGACCTTTGCCATCTTCTTCCTCCTGCTGCTGATGAGGTGCATCTGCCCAGGCCTTCTTCCCGGGGCTGCACCTGCCCCTTGTCTAAATTGCATGTGGCCTTCTCACAACGTTTTGGAAGGCAGGCATATGAGAAAAGACCCTAGCTGCACCAGTACAAAAGAACCCACTAGAAGGATCCTTCTTTTGTGCAGGCGCAGCTAGGGCCTTCTTTTATGCACCTGTCTTCCAAAACCTCATGAGAAGGCTGCACGTGATTTGGATGAGGGGTGAGTGCGGCCTCAGGAAGAAGGCCTGGCATGGCCAGCAGCTACCTCATGAAACGCCAGGCCGGGCGTGCCTTGTCAACAGTGGCAGGAAGAAGATGACAAAGGTTAGCAGGGGTGGCAAGGCCGGCAAGGCCAGCAAGCGCAGGGCGGCAAGGCCCACAGAGGCGGCGGAGTGCAAGGCAGCCAAAAGGGCAGAGATGGGGGGGAGATAGGCAGGTGGGGAGAGTTGAAGAGGAGGCAGAGGAGGCAGCCTTACCTTACTGAGACTTGGGGCTGGGAGGGACCAAGCCAGGAGTGGCTTGGATCAGGGTGGGTCCTTGGCTAACGACCAATGGGATTTGGTTAACGACAGCAATGGAGAGTACTAGGATTGCCATCACTAAGCAATGCAGTCACATGACATCACACTTTATGACCACATTGCTTAGTGGAAATTCCAGTCCCAATTGCTGTCATAACTTGAGGACTACCTGTAGAGAGATAATTTCCAACTTCCATCCTTAGAAGTTCTAAGAACCAATGTTGAGATTATCTTGTCAACCTGACTGGCTTAAGGGCTGAATTTCTTTCATGGACAAGGTGAGTGATTGAAACTGTTACACATCTTTTCATTCCCTCTCTCCTTCATTCATCTCCCTCAGCTCCAATTTATTCATCAAAGGACATCAATGTTTTTTGCCAACAGTCTTTGTACAAAACTCCTTGACCTAGGTTTCTATAATTGGCCCCAGATATTCCTCACCACAGAGTCCATTTTTGCCTGAAAATAGTACTTTTTTATACATTCAGAATTTAAATACTAGCCAAGAAGGCTATAGTGGTATTGTGATGGTGACTGAAATACACTCCATTCACGTTCAAAAGTACTTCCTGATTTTTACCACTCTTTAATATGACATTCCAGAAACTGAAATGTAATCATGGTGTTAAGAGACACCTTGGAATGGTAAGAAGCAATTTGTGGGTCAGAGGAATTTAAAGATTGCCTCATCCTTGGTTGGAGTAGATCTTCCCAACATGTTAACATTTCTACCTATGGCTGCATCTAGTATACAAGGATGTTTAGATCCCAGTTGAGTTCTTTCAGTAAAAGAAGGTAGCAAGATGTATAAAATCAAAGAGGAAGGGGGGGCTTCTCACCATACTCAGAATTTTTGAGAGTATACTCTTCAGAATTTATTTAAAGTCTCAGACCAATAAAACAAAATACAGAATTTAAAATACAGAAACAACAATAAAACCCAAATATAAAATTTAAAATACAGAACAACAACAACAACAACAAAAGCTCTGAAACAATTAATAACGAGAAGAGGATATCGCCCAGGTACTGCAAGCCATAGCTACTGCAAGAACCTTTGAAGCGGTTGTCCAAGTTAGGTCTTGCAGAAGGAAGATTGTAATTTCTTGATCAGAAAGAAAACTAAAGTTTCTGATAATTGGGTTTAGGAATGCTACATGGGCAATGAAGCAATACATGGGTTACTGACTTTACCTCTGTATCTGAACAGAAGCACATACGATTGTTGTGTGGGAGACTAGTATATTTGCCTATAGTCTCCATAATAGGTAATGCATCAATTCAAGCCAAGGTAAAAAGTGAGATATTCAGGATGTTACAGATGCCCCTAATTTAGGAGCCATTCAATCCAAGTTTCTGAAAACTATGCTCTGTGTCTCACATTCAACTTCAAATGCCCTTGCTCGGCTAATGCTTGGCTGCATTTCTCTTGGGGCCTGCCTGGGATTTTGCTATTTCAGGTTCTGGCTGAAACAAATCCTTTGGGGTAGTCTCTGGTTTATCTCACCCTACTGGATTGGTTTTCCTCATCCCTGAGGAGGCAAATTGATTCCAATCTAGCATATTGTAGCATCTCACTTCCAGAAATATTGTCTCCTGGCCCAGACAAAGCCTTAATTGAACACAAACAAAGGATCTGGGATCCATCCCTGTTATGGTGCAACTGCAGGTTCTCCATGGACAATTCCCAGCATATTCAGAGCACCCCAATCCCAGAATATATCCAATATATAGAATGGGGTAGACAATTCTAACATTGAAATTGTGAGTGCTCTTGAACAGTGTTAAGATTGTGATGACTGACATTACCAGATCACACTCCTGAATTCCAAGAAAAGGGCAAACATAAATATAATTTTCACTTATATTTAACAGAAAACAAAAATGAGACCTTTTAAAGAAAAGAAAATGCTAGAATTTGCTCCAAATTTGACCTTTGTCATGCAGTTATTGTAAGCTATTGGATGGAAGTAACCTGAAATTTTGACTATAAAACCCATAATATTTAACACAGATTTCTAGTTCTCATGCAAAAGGTCTTATTAAAATGTCAGCCCCCAACAATGCTATTATTGGAGTAAGTTAAACATTCAAAATAAAACCACCGGTTGAACTAATACTACAATTTCATATTTAACTTGGTTGCAGTGATTTCTTAAGTATGGATTTTTTTTTTTATTGGAACATTTTTCCCGCATGTACAGGGTCCGCTTTTTTTCCCCCCTCTGGATCAACCAAATGTTGATCCATTGGTTGCGACAGGAACTGACTGACCGGCTTGTCACCCGAGCCTGACGTCGGGGGCTTAGAGAGAACGACTGGCCCAAAACCACCCAGCTGGCTTTCATGCCTAAGGCGGGACCTGAACTCACCATCTCCTGGGTTCTAGCCTGGAGCCTTAACCACTAGACCAAACTGGCTGTCTTCTTAAGTATGGATAATGGAACTTTAAAAGAATGGTGCTTCATTGAGAGAAAAACATCCCTGCTATAACTTACGTGGGCACTTTTTGACACAAAAAGCACCATAAGTATATTTGCCATCTCGGTTGGTTTCCATCTGGAATGTGGCAGGATTGTAGACTGAAGTCTGTGGGCACTGGGTGACACAGGCCCCGCTGTCATTAAAATTCATACATGCCTAGAAGTGAAGAAATAGCACTGTTCTCAGAGTTTTCATTGGCATTTAATGAACTGACATCATGCTAAGTAAAATCTGACCACAACCGTAGGAAAAGCTTGTTTGGCTATCAGCAACTCTAGGTAGAAAGAACTCTAAGGAAGGCAAGGAAGACAGCAACACCTCTATCAACTTAATATGCAAAAGGTAAATGTCAAAGCTGTTTAGATGGACGATGGATGAACATCTGGCAAAAGCAAAAATGTTATGATGGGAGACAAGTTAGCAAGACTAAATGTCAAACTGTGATGAAGCCACAAAAAAAGTTGGAAACCTATTTAGATCCAGTTTAATTTTGATTCTCACTGTTCTTTGTGAGAATTCTCTTTGTGAGTAAATCTGTTGAAACAGCAAACTGCAGAGATAGACACTTCTTTGCTTTCAAGAGTGCTCACATAAACAAATACCCGCCAGCACACAGGGAAAGACAGATGAGTGCCTTATCTAGCAATTTTCACAGCAGTGTATTATAAGTTAAAGAAAGCAGCCCATGTTAGAACATCTCTTAATTCATTCTTGAAATATTGTTAATTAATACATAACATAATTCACCTATTTCTTTCTAGCAATTCCATTATTTTTATCTATTATTGTCTTTCGAGACAATAATAGATAAATGTGTCATTACAACAAATTGCACAATAACTGCATAATGAAAAACTAAGTATTTTTTAAGTTTATGGCTACAAAGCCTTGTCTGCAAGTTGAGCCTATATTTGCGAGCCCCTTCAGCTTCTGAGCTGGGGCCAAAGGAACTAGCAACAGCCCAGGACCTATCTCTTGCCTGTTGTCAAGTGTGGCTTTGCTGCCTTTTCCAGGCTCAAGAGACAAGGAAAACCACACTGAACAGGGTGGCATCTGAGGTCTTTGTAGATTGATCTGCCTGCTCTGGGTTCAAGAAGAAACTCCACTTGTTGATTCAGATCCCTGAATGGTTCAGGCACAAGGGTGGGCTATTTGGGTCAAACCCAGCGGGAAGCAGAATGCCTGTAAATGGATCTCTCCTGGCCTGAAAAAATAGATACAGATGCAAAGGCACTGCGGAACCAGGATCAGGGAACTATCACTGGGAGAAGATTAGGATTCAGGGTTTCCTCCAAATAGTTTTACAGACCTAACAATGCTGAATCAGTTTATTTTTATTTTATTTATTCAATTTATATAGTTCCTGAAACTCTTTGTCTTGGGGAAAACATGCATACTTTTAACACTTTACAACACCCACTTGATGAACTTCCATTTTGCCCCTACCATCTCATCCCATTTAACTTTCAGGTTTTCGCCAAGGTTTTTACCTTTAAGGACAGCTTTAACATTTCTTTAAAATGTTAAATAAGTACATGCTGGCAAAAGCTCAACTTTCTCTGGTTCATCATTTTAGGTGCTTTCGTTCAGGTTCAGCTCGATTCCTTTGGAGCAAAAAAGTGAAGGCTGCAAGGCTGGGGCAGACAGTGTTTCTTTCCCTTCACTCAGGCAGTCGTCTTTCTGAGGCTGAAATCAAGGTGTGCCCATCCATGCACCCCTTTTGTATATGGATGGGATGGTAAATTCCACCACCACCACCACCACCCCAGCCACAAACCTTACACTAACCAAAGTGACATATTACTCATTCTTCCATGTTTTCTCAGTCCTGATTTCAATCAAGTATTTGTTGGGAGAGTGAAACAAGAAAGTTCAAGCTGTGGGATAAAGTGATGCCAATGAATGGCAGCTCTTAGTTAAAAATATTGATGTTTTTCAGTGTTTGATTCTGCCCTGAATGCTATCTGCTAAAACAATCCCCAAATTTATGCTCTGCAATTCAAGCCCCAGCTCTTCTGTGCTCGGAAATATACTTCTGCAAATCCATATTTGAATTTGATTTTTGACTTTAACTTAGTTCTGGAACACTATTATTTTCCTCCTCTAAGAGGTTCCTAATTCCAGTTTCTCAAATGTGTACTCAATTGGTTCTCCAATTCCAAATGTTGCCAAAAATAGTGGTGGTGGTGGTGGTGAATATTTTATGCAGGTAAAATGCTCCTCTCTTGCAATGAAACATAAACATACTCTTTAATGAAACTGTAATAGAATTAAAGCAGCTGCATTTATTAAGGGCTACAAAAGAAATTGACCATAGGAGGAGTAAAATAATATAATGCTAAAGTGGATATGACCTTTTTCACTCAAAAATTCACACATAAAATGTATTTTAGGAAGACATGGCCAACAATAACATAAAATGGCAGGATTCTCATATATTTCATACATCTTATTTCCTCTCAATACCTAACACCCCATTTCACAGCAGAGGACTTCCTTGTGAAGACTGAAAAAGGAAATGTCTTCTTAAATGACCACCAGGGAAATGAGAAAAGGTGTGGAGTCCTTGGGGTTCTCTGAGCTTGGTTCTTTTCTTGGAAACGTTTCATTACCCGGTTAGGTAACATCTTCAGTGTAAAATGGGTTGGGCTTTGCTCTCTATTTATATACTGGGGCATGCCCTGCCAGTGGTGGTGGGGGTTTTGTTTTGCTCCTCTGGTAGTTCCTTGATTAGCATATGTTTACTGCTTGATTGTGTGCCTGGTGGTAACCTTTGCTTATCTGGGTGATGATTGGTGATGGGGCGATGCCCTGCCAGTGGTGGTGGGGGTTTTGTTTTGCTCCTCTGGTAGTTCCTTGATTAGCATATGTTTACTGCTTGATTGTGTGCCTGGTGGTAACCTTTGCTTATCTGGGTGATGATTGGTGGTGGGGCGATCTTCTGATCTTTTGTCTCTTTTGAATAGTATGTGGATGCTGTTTATCTCTATGTGTCTGTTACTTGCTGCCTTGTCTGAATACCAAGCTTCCAAGAACTCTCTTGCATTTTTGGATTTAGCTTGGTCAAAAATGCTGACAGTTTCCCAGTTAGAACTATGGTTAAGTCTGTCCATGTGTGGTGAGATTAAGGAGTTTCATGTCTTCTGACTGCTAGTTGGTGCTCATGGATACACTCTGCTAGTCTTCTGCCTGTGTGTCCTACGTAGTGTTTGTTACAGTCCTTATACTGTATGTTGTAGATGACTTGTTTTTTCTTCTTGTGCTACTGGGTCTTTTGGTTTACTTAAGATATTTTGGAGTGATCTTGTTGGTTTGTGTGCTACAGAGATGCCATGTGGTTGTAATAGTCTGTTGGTGGTTTCTGA